TGTGTGTCTGTTTGTGTGTGTGTGTCTGTCTGTGTGAGCGTGTGTGTGTTGTGTGTGTGTGTCTGTCTGTGTGAGTGTGTGTGTCTGCGTTTGTCTGTGTGTGTGTGTCTGAATGTGTGTGTGTGTGTCTGCATGATTCTATAACATCATCTGGCTGATCTGACCCCAGCTTCAGCCCCTCATTGCTCTCAATTCTTCGATATTTCAAAAACCTCTCTATCTCCTCATTCAGTGATCTAGTCTCCACAACTCTCAGGTACAGAATTCCAGACATTCACTACCCTCTGAAAGAAAAGAAAATTAATCTGCTTCTCAGTTTTAATTGAGAGCCCCTCTATTCTGTCACTATGTCCCCCCCTAGTTTGAGATTACTGCACTAGTGGAAACATCTTCTCAACATCTAATCTGCCAAGCCTCCTCACAAACGTTCTTATTTCAATAAGATGACCCTTCATTCTTCTAAGCTGTAATAACCATTCTTAGTAAGTCATCCCAGACATCAGGTTGGTGACTCACCAATGCAAATATATCTTTTCTTAAATACAGGGATCGAAACTCCAGGTGCAGCCTCAACAAAATCCTGAACAGTTGTAATAAGACTTCCGTATTTTTAAATGCCAAATACCTAGCATTTGCTTTCTTAATTACTTGCTGCACCTGCATGCTAACCTTTTCTGTTTCATGCATAAGAAAATCTAGGCCTCTCTAAACTGTACTTTTCTGGAGTGTTGTTCCAAACATTTACTACAGTCATAGAGCCACAGAGTCATAGAGTCGTAGAGTCATACAGCACAGAAACAGATCCTTCGGCTGTACTCATCCATGTCGACCAGGTTTCCGAAACTGAACTAATCTCATATGCCTCTGTTTGGCCCATATCCCCCTAAACCTTTCCTATCGTGTACGTCCAAATGTCTTTTATATATTGCAATTGTATCTGCCTTCACCACCTCCTCCGGCAGGTCGTTTCATATATGCACCAGAGGAGGTGTGAAAAAGTTACCCCTCAGGTCCCTTTTAAATCTTTCCCCCTTCACCTTAAACCCAAACCCTCTATGTAATTCATTATCTGATGAAGCAGAGTCAGTGTGGCTCCATGAAGAGGAAGTCATACCTGACAAATTTACTCGAATTCTTTGAGGAGATAACAAGCAGGAGGGATTGAGGGGGAAACAGTGGATCCAACATTCGGATTTCCAGAAGGTGTTCAATAAGGTTCCACACATTAGACTACTTAATAAGAAAGAGCCCATGGTGTACACTTAGAATATTAGCATGGATAGAGGATTGGTCAACTTAGAGGACAGAGAGTTGGGATAAAGGGGGTATTTTCAAGATGATAACCTATAACTAGTGGAGTGCCACAAGTGTTGGGGCCACATTTATTGATAATTTATATTAATGACTTGGATGAGGGATGTGAATGTACCATTGCTAGTTTTGTGAATGATAGATAAATAGATGTGAAGCAAGCAGTGTGAATGACACGAAGACTATGGAGAGGGATAAAGACAGGTTAAACATATGGGCAAAAAAAACAAACAGATGTACCTTAAAGATATATTCCCTTATAAGTACTGATCTCATTCACCTCCTATTTGTCATTGCTCTGTAAGTAAACATCCTTTGGTATCTTGCTTTTGTGTGTCAGAAACAGCAGCTCAACATGACCCAGGTATGGCATCTTAGCCCCACATACTGGGTATATTTGTGGTGTAGTAAGGTGTACTTAAAGATCTCTCAGTGAAGACAAAACTGTGCTTTCTGTTAGGCTTTTCTTGCAATAAAATTCAAATGGCTTTCTTCGATTTGCCTTCACGGTACCTTTAGTGTAGTCTGAAAGGGCTTCACGGGACTGATTATGAAACAAAATTTGAGACTGAGTTATCTGACGAGCTATCAGGGCAGATGATCAAGCAGTTTGGTCAAAGAGGTGCATTTTAAGGCACATTGTACAGATGGATAGAGAGAGGCAGAGAGGTTTAGGGATGGAACCCTGCAGCTTGATAGCCCAGGAGCTGAAGGCACAGCCACCAATCTGACAGTGATTAAAACCAGGGAAGAATAAGAAGCTAGAATCGGAGGAGTGCAGAAACCTCAGGGTTACGGGGCTTCGAGTGGCCAGTGGAGATTACAGAGACAGAGCTGGCTGCAAACATGGAGGCATTTGAAAGCATCTGTGAAAGTGGCTGTGGTTGAATTGGTAACACACTTTAGCTAAGAGATCCTGTGTTCAAGTCCCAGCATGGGAACAGACCCTTCAGTCCAACCAGTCCATGCCAATCGTGTTCCCAAACTAGTCCCATTTGGCCCACATCCCTCTAAATCTTTGCTATTCATGTATCTATCCAAATGTCTTTTAAAAGTTGTAACTGTGCCTGCATCCACCACTTCCTCAGGCAGTTCATTCCACGCACAAACCCCACAGATCAGTGTTGGAGTTACAATTATTTATGATTTGTATTAGTGCTTTTGATGAAGGGATCATCACTGTGTTTTCAGCAAACTTGGGTACAAGGATAGGTGTAAAGTAAATAAACTGAGAGGAGAAGTCTGCAAAGGGATACAAATAGCTTACTGTTAGGGGGAAGAGATGGCCTGGTGGTATTATCACTAGATTATTAATCCTGAGAACCAGGTTCGAATCCTGCCATGGTAGTTGGTGGAATTTGAATTCAGTAAAGGTTTGGAATTAAGAGCCCAACAATGACCATGAAATCATGGTTGAATCCATCTGCTTCATCATTACCTGGTCTGGCCTACGTGTGACTCCAGACCCAGAGCTTGAATGTTTGATGCTTCAGTGTATTGATGAGGGAGTGCTGCACTGTAGGAGGTGCTGACTTTCCAAAGAGATGTTAAACTGAGGCTCCATCGACCTATTCAGGTGAATGTAAACAGCCCCATGACAGTATTTTGAGGAAGAACAAGGAAAGTTATCCTCGGAATCCTGGCTGATTGCTATCCTCAATCGACACAATCACACAAAATAAAACAGATCTCCTGGTTGTTCCCACATTGCTCGGTGCATCCATAGTGAAGAGAACACTGGTAGAATGTGGAAGGTAGTCTGTGACACTGTCAGAACTGAAAAAGAAGCAGGAGACTTTCTAACTGGAGGATATGCTGAACTGGGAATCAATGGAAGTCAACAAGCAGAGAGGTGGATTTGTGATTGGGAGCCAGTGTGAGCTAGAAAAAAGGGAAGCTGAGGCTTGGAAGAGCTGACATTTCTGATGGGCAGTGGAGGGGTGTGTAGGGACAGTACACCCACCACCCTCAGTGTGAACAAGTTACCCCTCATATCCTTTTAAAATCTTTCCTCTCTCACCTTAAACCTATGTCCTGTAGTTTTGGACTCCCCTCCCCTGGGAAATCACACTATCCATGCCCCTCATGATTTTATAAACCTCTATAAAAGGTCACCCCTCAGCCTCCGATGCTCCAGGGAAAAACACGCCAGTGTATTCAGCCTCTCCCAAAAGCTCAAACTCTCCAACCCCGGCAACACGCTTGTAAATCTTTTCTTCGCCCTCTGCAGTTGAACAACATCCTTCCAAAAGAACGGAAATCAGAATTGTGCACGGTATACTCAGAGCGGCCTCACCAGTTTTCGCTGTTACGGTAACAACTTTTTTCATCCCCGTTCTGCCGTGTAATGAGGTTTACGCCAGGACTCTGCTCAGTCTTCAATGTGGCTAATTCATTGCAAAGCTCTGTCGTTCCCGTCCCAACTCGCAACCCTAGCCCCATCCATGTGATCTTTCTACACCGGCCGCAGACATGCACGCAGACACGTGGTCAGAGTTTAATAGGGGAAGCAGTTCGATGCTGGATGCAACATAACCTTCACGTTTCTGAAACATTACGGCTGGACAATGCCATGGCGGTGGTGAAAGAAAGGTGCCGGATGAAAGGAGCCTTGCTTGTTAAGACATGGGAAACTAAGCTATGTTTGATCTTCGAAGTTAGGTGGGATCTTCGATTATCTACCTGACAGATCCTACGTTTTAGCATCTCGTCATGGAAAGACAGCACCCCCAGCAGTGCAGCCCTCCCTCGGTTCTGCACTGGGAGTGTCAGTGGCAACTTCTGTGCTCTCATCCCTTCAGCGTGCCTTGAGGCCACAATCCTACGACTCAGCGGCTGAGTGCGCCAACTGAGCTAACACCAGCTGCACTGCCTGGGCTACGGAATAACAAAACCCGATTGGTCTCAAAACCAGGCGTGCAATGAGTCCAGCTGGGGTGACTGTCCTCAATCCATCTCCGCCCCAGTGACTTGAGAGGGCAGTGATCTATCAGGGGAGGAAGTCAAATTGCAGACAAGTGCATGCACTGACACTGACCTGTGCCACAAAATAAGCAATAGGCCAGTTTGGGGTTGAAAGAAGATGGATTCAGTGCGTGAGAGAAATGCCAATGAGCTCATTCATCACCCAGAATTGACTGGTGAGTATAACTAGGGGAAGTGGCACGGTGGCTCAGCGGTTAGCATTGCTGCCTCACAGTACCAGGGATCTGGGTTTGATTCCACCCTCAGGTGACTGTCTGTGTGGAGTTTGCACATTCTCCCTGTGTCTGTGTGGGTTTCCTCCCATGGTCACAAAGATACGCAGGTTAGGTGGGTTGGCTATGGGAAATGAGTTTTTTGGTGTTCCAAAGTGCTGATCTCACTGAAATAAGCATTTTCCCATGCATGCATGGGAACTGCAGGGTTACAGTGTAGGGGATGGGTCTGGGTGGTCTGCTCTTTGGGGGGTTGACATGGACTCAATGGGCCAAATGGCCTGCTTCACCCTCTAAGGAGTTCTCACTGTGTTCAAAAATGTTGTGTACACACTGGGTTAAAAGTTTGATGTAAG